GGGTCACTCTTTGTGGTGGGGGCTGTCCCATGCACTGTGGGCTGTGGAGCAGAATCCTAGGCCCCTATGCACTGGATACCACTAGCACACCCCTCCCCCAAGGTGTGACAATCAAAAAGGTCTCTAGACATTGCTAAGTCCCCCCAGCTCTGCACTGAGAACTACCATTCTGGAAGGTGCCAAAATACGGTTACAATCTGAAAACCCCTCTATAAATCTCTTTAAAATCCCAGCTTAGAGCTGTCTCCTCTAAGGCCCCTCACAAACATGAAGATGTCCATATGGGAACACCACGTGAATTAATGCCCCTAGTGGCAGAGTGAATATACTCTTCCAAGGGAAGTTAGGATCCTACAGCAAAAACCTTTGTGAACTTTCCAGGTCAACAACGAACATTCATCAGTTGAGGCAGTTGCTACTCTGGAGAGGATAAGAAAATAGCAGAGAGTGGAAACGAGGAGGTCTGGTTCTCATCCACCCCAGCTCAGTCACTCAAGAAGTATTTATTGATATTGTGCACTCTGAGCCAGGGAGGTCAGGCTCTGGGGTCAACTCAGTGGACAAAACAAATGCAGCCCCTTTCCTTGTGGAGTTTACTAAATTCCCTCCACACTCTTCAGTCCTGTGCCTGTGGCAGACATCACTAATCAATCACAGCACTGTCCCGCTAAGCTTTCTGACTCAAGTCCCTGTTTCTGGCATCCTCTAATAAATGATTAGAACAGACACAGGACAAAAACCCACTTGCCCTTTCATTTTGGGGATTCAATGAATGGTAGCTATGTGTATCTATGTTATCTAATCCTACCTCCTCTAATATAAATAAGGAAATTTTGGCCCTAGACGAGGAGTGGCTTGCTTTAGTCATGCAGCGTTGGATCTAAGCCCAAAGTTAAGGTATTTTTACTTGTTTTCCCTTATATTCCTCACTGCTTTATGCTTCAGCAATTGGATAGCAGAATTTGGGGTTCCGCAAATTTCCTCATTATGGATTCCTGAATGTGTGTGTGTGTGTGCATGTGTGTGCGTGTGCGCACATGTGTGCATGTCTGTTGCAGGAACAAATTAATGAATTTTATTTTTTTCAGACAGAATCTTGCTCTGTTGCCCAGGCTAGAGTGCAACGGCACAATCTCGGCTCACTGCAGCCTCTGCCTCCCAGATTCAAGCAATTCTCCTGCCTTAGCCTCTCAAGTAGCTGGCACTACAGGTACCCACCACTGTGCCTGGCTAAATTTTGTATTTTTTATAGAGATGGGGTTTTCCCATATTGCCCAGGCTGGTCTCAAACTCCTGAGCTCAGGTGATCTGTCTGCCTTGGCCTCTCAAAGTGCTGGGATTACAGGCCTGAGCCACCACAACTGGCTTCCTTTGTTTATTTTAAAGGCTTGAAGATTAACATTGGGTTCAGCCTCAGATACCCACGGTTTTACAGCTCTTTTAACTGCTGCTCAGCTCCACCAAAACAAAAACGATTCTATTTCATTTTCAGAGGTGTTTTTTTCCCTTCTATCCTTCCTTCCTTCCTCCTTCCCTCCTTCCTTTCTTCCTTTTCTTCTTTCCCTCCCTTCCTCACTCTCTCTCCCTACCACCTTCCTTTCTTCCTCTCTCCCTCCTTTCCTGCCTCTCTCCCTTTCTCCTTTCCTCTTTCCCCCTTTTCTTTTCTTTTTTTCCTGAGATGACGTTTCACTCTTGTTGCCCAGGCTGGAGTGCAATGGCGCAGTGTTGCTCCTGAGTCGCTGTGATTACAGGTATGTGGCACGACGCCTGGCTAATTTTGTATTCTTAGTAGAGATGGGACTTCACCATGTTGGTCAGGCTGTTCTTGAGCTCCTGACCTCAGGTGATCTGCATGAGCCACCATGCCCGGCCCCTCTTTTCTTCCTTCCCTCCCTCTGTCCCCTTTCCCTCCCTCCCTTCTTCTTTCCTTCTTCCCTTCTTTTTTTCCCTCTCTCTCCCTCCCTCCCTCCTTCCTTCCTTCCTCCTCCTTCCCTTTTTCCTTTCCCCCTTTCCCATCCCTCCCTCCTTTCTCTCCCTCCCTCCCTCCTTCCTTCCTGTCCTGTCCCACTTGTTCATTCTTCCAACCAGGAAATCACAATGCCATCACTCATATGCTCCAGCAACAGGAAGTGGGTGGGAGGGCCGATGGGGGCAGGATCTAGAGAGCTGCCACTGAGGACAAGAGTAATTCCTTCTTGGGTTAACTGGGAGGTGGGAATACCAGCTTTTACTTCCTTTAGGAGCCCGGGAGAGGCCTTCCCAACTGCCCTCTCCAGCCCCATCACCAACGAAGACCATGAGGGCCATCGTGGCTGCATTTAGTTTCCAACCTTCTGCCTCCGGACTTATATTCTTGACAGTTATACTGAGCACCATTTCCTAGCTGTTATGTTGATCACTATCTTCCAGGTGTCTGCTGGCCCAAGTTTCCTGCGCAGTAGCAGTGAGAGGGAATGCAGCAGGAGTCTGCCTCCTCTAAGGCATTGCTGGAACATTCACTCATTCATCGAGCCATCGCCTGCCTCTAGAGCACCTACACATTCAAGCCACTGGCATCACAGTGAAAACGAAGCACTAGATCTAGAATGAGCAAGGCCTGGTTCTGTGACACACAAACTGTGTGGCCCTGGGTAAGTTGCCCGCTCTCTGTGCCTCAGTTTCCTCTTCTGTCAAGTCAGAGTGATAACAGCACCTACTTCAATGGTTATTATGGGGATTGGATGAGCTAATGCATGAACCACACTTTGTATCATGCCTGCTAGACAAGGCAGTATTTTATTTTAGGCCCATGACTTGCTAGTTGTAGTGGAGATTGCCTGTTACCTACTGAGCATCCAGATCGCACTTCTTCCTTCCTAACAGAATTCTAGATTTGTTCAGGTAGCCCGTTCCCAGCTCCAGTAGTAGATTATTCTTAGTCTAAGCCAATCATTTTCAAAGTGTGGTCCCAAGACTAGCAGCATTGATATTGCATGGGGACTTGTCAGAAATGCTATACTTGGGCCAGGCGTGGTGGTTCACACCTGTAATCCTAGCACTTTGGGAGGGCAAGGTGTGTGGATCACAAGGTCAGGAGTTCAAGACCAGCCTACCCAAGATGGTGAAACCTTGTCTGTACTAAAAATACAAAAATTAGCCAGGCATGGTGGTACATGCCTGTAATCCCAGCTGCTCGGGAGGCTGAGGCAGAGAATTGCTTAAACCCAACAGGTGGAGGTTGCAGTGAGCCGAGATCGCGCCACTGTACTCCAGCCTGGGTGACAGAGTAAGACTCACTCTCAAAAAAAAAAAGCTATGCTTGGAGTTTCGGTTTACACGTGTCCTGTGCCTACCACGTGCCTGCTATTGTCCAAAGTGATTACACAGTGGCTCACGTCTGTAACCCCAGCACTTTGGAAGGCTGAGGTGGGAGGACTGCTTGAGGCCAGGAGTTTGAGTCTAGCCTGGGCAACATAGTGAGACCCTGTCTCTCTATAAATATAAATATTAAAAAACAATTAGCTGGGCATGGCGGGACAAGTCTTGTCCCAGCTACTTGGGAGGCTGAGGTGGGAGGATTGCTTGAGTCCAGGAGGTCAAGGCTGCAGTGAGCTATGATTGCACCTCTGCCTGGGCAACAGAGCAAGATCTTGTCTCAAAAAACAAAAACAAACCCAAAAGAAACAGTGATTTACACCTCAATTAACCCTAATTCACCTCTATTTACCCTACAGTACAGGTTCTGTTATTTTCTTCTTTATACATATTAGGAAATGGATGATCAGAGAGGTCAATTTGGCTGGGTGCGGTGGCTCACGCCTGTAATCCCAGCACTTTGGGAGGCCATGGTGGGCGGGTCACTTGAGGTCAGGAGTTCGAGACTAGCCTGGCCGACATGGTGAAACCCCGTCTCTACTAAAAATACAAAAATTAGCCAGGGGTGGTGGCAGGTGCCTGTAATCCCAGCTGCTTAGGTGGCTGAGGCAAGAGAATCACTTGAACCCAGGAGACAGAGGTTTCAGTGAGCCGAGACTGCATGATTGTACTCCATCCTGGATGACAGAGCAAGACTCTGTCTAAAAAAAAAAAAAAAAAAAAAAAATCAATTTGCTCACCCAAGGTCATACAGCCAGGAGTGGCAAAATTGAGACTGAACCCAGGTCTTCAAGGTCCTGAGCTGTAAGGTCTCTCTTCCTTCTTGTTTGCAAAACCGTTTCATATCATGTCTGAGCTCTCCCAAAAGCTGGCTGGAAGATAAGCATCCTAGCACAGATAGTTATGTGAGCAGTGATTGCAGTAGGTGAGTGGAGAAGTGGGACAGCGAAGGGAAGGCAGATCATTCAGGGTGTCTTCATGAATGGGTTCCCACAGCAGACACTGGAGCCCAGTCCTGCTGGGATTGAGAAATGGCTCTCTGGGTGCAGTGAGTGGCTCATATCTGTAATCCTAGCATTGTGGGAGGCCAAGGCAGGAGGATTGCTTGAGGCCAGGAATTTGAGACCAGCCGGGGCAACATGGTGAAACCCCATTTCTACAAAAAAATACAAAAATTAGCTGAGCGTATTGGCACATGCTTATAGTCCCAGCTGCCTGGGGGGCTAAGGGGAGGATTGCTTGAGCCTCAGAGGTTGAGGCTACTGTGAGCTGAGACTGTGCCACTGCACTCCAGCAAGACCCTGTCTCAAACAACAACAACAAAAAATTGAGAAATGGCTCTCTTTAGAGCAAGGGAATCAATGGCTTTATCTACTATCCCTTGACTGCCCCAGCCAATGAGGAAATGGTTCCTGTCCTGGAGATATGAATAGACACCGATTGTCTAGATTCTGAAATGTATATGGTTGGACCCGACTCGAAATGCTTTGAAGAGTCCACAGCAGCCTTACAGCAACGTCTTCTCACAGTACTTCAATGTAATCCTCATTAGGCCTCCCAATTGCTAATGCAGAACAGGTTTGCTGCTTGTCCATGCCATCACCAAGTGAACCCCAAGGACATGCGTTTAGAAGAGGTTGCCTTACTGTTTTCCTGCCGTACTGATCTGAGATATTTCCCCAGAGCGTGGAGCTGGACATCATGCCTACAAAGACCACCTGCGGGGGAAAGACAGTTTTCATTAGACAGAGGACTTGGAGCACTGCACAGAAAGGAACAACAAATGTAAGCAGTGATGTCACACTCGAGGTAACAGCCATGATCTAACATTCACTGAGCACTTGCCAAGGTCAAACACTATTCTAATGCTTCCGGCAAGCTGCCCAACAATCCCATGGGGAGGGTGCTATTATCATTCCTGTTTTACAGATGAGGGAACTGAGACTCAGAGAGAGGCAAACGCACAACCAGTGCCACACAGGTGTTAAGTGGTGCAGCCTGCACTGGAATCATGCATTCTGGCTCGGAGCTAGCTTTTGACCTGTTTCTCACCTTGCCAAAGAAACACTTGCCCTGCTGCTGAGAAAAGACCAAGGGCTGCAAGGTGGAGTTTGGAGAGCAGGAAAATCAGACAGGGAGGCTGGGCTGGGAGCTGTAAACTATTAGTAAGAGAAACCACTCATCGTGTGGGAGGCAAAGCAATTGTTACATTGTTAATCCTTGGAGTAACAGCTGGTGAGGCTTCAATGATCCTACCCATTTGACGGAATGGGGAGCTGAGGCTCAGATAGGTTAAGAAACCTGCTCCGCCTCCCTGAAAGGAGAGGGTAGAAGGCAAGTCTTAAACCCAAGCAGGCAGACTGGCGCCTCATCACCATGTTCTTCCCTCTGCAAGTGCCAGACACCATGCCGAAGGCTTTATGCACACATCTTACCACAGCCTTGCAGCAGGCCTACCAGGTGGGTGCTTCTATTATACCCATTTCACAGTTAAGGCAGCTGAGGGCCAGAGAGGGGAGGGCACAGCCTCAGTTTGGTCTGACCCCAAAAGCATTTCTTGTGGCATGTCTGAGGGTGGGAAGTGGGGATGGTACACAGAAGTGTTTCAAGGTAGAAGCAGACACAGATTATGTATGTATAATTTTTTTATTTGTTTAGATGGGATCTTGCTCTGTCACCCAGGCCGAAGTGCAGTGGTGTGGTTGTGATTCATTGCAGCCTCAAACTCCTGGGCTCAAGTGATCTTCCCACCTCAGCCTCCCGAGTAGGTGAGACTACAGGTGTGCACTGCCAGGCCTGGCCAATTTTATTTATTTATTTATTTATTTATTTATTTATTTGAGACAGGATCTCACTTTGTTGTCCAGGTTGGTCTTGAACTCCTGGCTTCAAGCAATCCTCCCACCTCAGCCTCCCAATGGTGCTGGAGTTACAGGCATGAGCCACTGCATCTGGTCCTGAATGGATCATTTTAAGGGAATTCATTTCCAAGTTCTCAGCTTCCCTGCAGACTCTTTTTCAAGAACGAGTTAGGGGTCTTCTTCTCCATTTCCTGCCTGACTCCCTCTTTCTCAGCCACCCCTCCACCATGCCTCTCTAGGCCAGTCTGACCAGGGCACCTCAAAGGACATTGCTTTTCAATGTAAACCCTTCAGGGTGCCTCGGAAGGGGAACCGATGATGCACTTACAAATCCTTTTGCAAGTCATCTGGTTTCCAGTGCCTTTCTTATTACTTTCAACAGAATTGAAGGACAGTCTAATCAAGCTGCAGGCAAGTTAGATCATGGAACACAGTTTTTCAGAAATGAAAGCTGCGTGCCCTTCAGCACACACATTTTGGAGAGTGTTTTTAAAAATCAAGTGGCATCAGTTTGCTGGGTTCCAGCAAATCCTTCAGTTCCTCAAAACTTTTTTTCATGTGAACACAGCTTTTCACATGCGTATTCATTCAGGAAAAATGACAAATAGGAACATAACTGGTGCTGAACCCTGTCTCACTTTAGCAATAATCATTCAGGAATACATAAAATATTGGGGAAACATTCCACACCATTCATTAAGGGATACATTTCCGATAAAACCTTGCTTATGTTTAACAATTATTTATCAAAATTAATTATATCTTGTTGTTATGGTCTATTGTATACTACTAAAAATTATAATTAAGTCAGTGCAGGAGAAAAACTTTAGTGCTTAGAGCCTTCTCAGAGAATTAAAACTAATAATTTAACACTTATTTATTCTGTCACAGAGAATTATAATAGGATAAAGAATGTGATCCTTTCAAACAAGAAAACATTACATTAGGCCAGCCCGACCAACATGGTGAAACTCTGTCTCTACTAAAAGTACAAAAATTAGCTGGGTGTGGTGGCGTGTGCCTTTGGTCCCAGCTGCTCAGGAGGCTGGGGTGGGAGGATCACTTGAATTTAGGAGGCGAAGGTTGCAGTGATACAAGATCACACCACTATACTCCAGCCTGGGCAACACAGCAAGATCCTATTTCAAAAAAAGAAAAGAAAACATTACATTAAGATAAAATTATATGGAGAAATGAATGGAAATATCAGTTCCAAGAAAACAGGTATGCAAATTTTCCAAATTCCTCTAAAGAGCTTGTTTATGTAATTTTAAAGCAAATGATGGTAGATGTCAGGTAAGTATTTCAATTTCATTAGACACATTTTAAAAAATGATATAGTAATTTTATTTTGATTTTTATATTTCAGTACACCCCCAATGGTATCATCTGCAACCTACAATTTAAAAAATTTCATGCCAATGTAAAAACGTGTGACGGTCCTGGATTCTACAAGGTTTTTATTTAATTCTTTTCTAGATCAACCTAGAACAAAGATGTTTGAAGATTACTGTCTTGGGATAAAGTGTTGCCTTAGTCATGTGCTAAGTTATATTCTTACATCTTGAAAGAGGTAAGTATCCCTCAAAACACCCATTTTCCCCAAAAGGAGAGATTCTGGCACAGCCTAGTACTGGTTGTATATTATAGTAATTACGGTAATCTTGTATCGTGTTTCCTTATATCACAGTAGTTACGGTCATCTTACACAGTATTTTGTGCGGCAACAATGTGCATCTGTAGTATCCTCCTTGGGTACTTCATGCCTTTGGAGCAATTCCTGCAGACTCCACTTTTCCACAGAAAATTCACCATGAGACTTAACAAGTCTAAACCTCATACCACAAGAAAGTAGCCCAAGGCAGGGGCTCTGAGCCCGCCAGGCCTGGCTTTCAATTCTGCCTCTGCCTCTTAACAGGCTGTCTGAGCTTTGGGCAAGTCAATGCCTCTCTCTAAGCCTCAGTTACTTTATCTGTAAAAGTGACAGTAATAAAAGCACCTCTTTCATGGCTTGAGACGGCTAAAGAGATAATATATGCAAAACCATTAGCCTGGCCCAAAATAAGTGCTCAGTAAATTGTGGTTGTTATAATCCAATGGCAAGAGACCAGAAAGGGCCTGCATTGCAAAAACACAGACCGGCAGTTACTGTTATCATCATTATTACTGTTCTTATTTTGAGACGGAGTCTCACTCTGTCACCCAGGCTGGAGTGCAGTGGTGAGATCTCGGCTCACTGCAACCTCCACCTCCCAGGTTCGAGCAATTCTCCTGCCTCAGCCTCCCAAGTAGCTGGGATTATAGGGACACGCCACCACGCCCAGCTAATTTTTGTATTTTTGGTAGAGACAGGGTTTCACCATGTTAGCCAGGCTGGTCTCGAGCTCCTGGCCTCAAGTTATCTGCCCACTTTAGCCTCCCAAAGTGCTGGGATTACAGGCATGAGCCACTGCACGCAGCCTGCAGTTACTCTTTAGGAGGTATCGGTGAGAAGGAGGAATATAAGAAAGAAGTATCATGGACTCAGGCCCTGGTGTGTACTAGGTGCTGTGTGTATTTTGTTGCCCCACTGCAGAAAAACAGGCATTGTCACCCCATTTTGCAGGCCACAAAATATGGCCATCAAACACCTCACTCAAGATCACACTTCTGGAGCTGACTAAACCACAGAAACACAGGTGTCTGTGCCATGAAGTGCTTCCCACTGAGCTGCATGACCTTATTGCCAATATCAGACTAGGTCATGCTGTGTGGAAGGTACTCAGGCCATTCCAGAACAGTTATCTATAAAAAACAGCATCCTGGGAGGCATCCTGAATTGGCAGTGACTCCATCACTGGCTAGGTCTGTGATCTTGAGCAAGTGATTAACCTCTTTTTGTGCCTTATTTTGCTCAACTAACCGTAGTGCCTAGCTCATAGGTCTGTGAGGATTAAAGAGCATGTGTAAATTATGCATATATTGTATGCAATGCAGTAAAGGCCTTTGCACAGTAAGTGCTCCATTAAGTATTAGCTTTTGTGATTATCCTTATTATCCTCTTATCCAGCCTGGCCATTCCTCTCTCTCTCTTTTTCTTTCTTTTTTTTTTTTTTTTCAATTTGAGATGGAGTCTCATTCTGTCACCCAGGCTGGAGTGCAATGACACGATCTCAGCTCACTGCAACCTCCACCTCCCGGGTTCAAGCAATGCTCCTGTCTCAGCCTTTCAAGTAGCTGGGATTACAGGTGCCACCATGCCCGGTTAATTTTTGTATTTTTAGTAGAGACGGGGTTTCACCATATTGGTCAGAATGGTCTCAAACTCCTGACCTCAGGTGATCCACCCGCCTTGACCTCCCAAAGTGTTAGGATTATAGGTGTGAGCCACTGCGCCTGGCCCATTCCTCTCTCTTTTAAGAGGTTGCTGCTTATCTGTTCCTGACAAAAAGTAAGAGTCTGCAGCCTCCTCCTTCAAGCTTTAATTCCAAGGAGCAATAGCTCCAATTTATTGAACATCTACTATATGCCAGGCACTGTGTTGTTTCCAGTCCTCAAATCATCCTAGGGGTGTGGAGATTGGCATGTCCTGTTTGCAGTCAAGAAAACAGGCTTATAAAGTTTAAGTGATATGCACAGGTGGGTTTCAAGCTCCTAGCGATGGAACAGGATGTCTGGGACACCCTCCAGGTGAAGTAGAGTTGGCTATAAACCTGCTAAGATACGTGAGGTGGGGAGAGGACAGTGCTTCCATCAGGGCTTAATTCTTTTCTGCTGAGCCTTCGGCAGTGGAAGAAGGAAGATAGCCCACAGGACACCCCAGGGGAGCAGAACTGTATGCAACAGGAGGGAGCTGCTGGGCTGCCTACCGAGGTCAGCAGTGCCACCTGCCAGCTTGGGAGCCTCCACTCGCAATGCAGCTGTGGCGCCAGGATGCTGAGGATCATCATCTCCATGGCATCAGCCATCTGCAGAAAGGACGGAGACACCATGAGGCCAGGATGCTGCTTGGTGCCGGAGAAGGCTGGCCAAGTCCACAACCACAGAGGCAGAGACAGAGCGTATCCTTCTCTACCCACTGCCAAGTGCCCTGCCACACATCAAACCACACTTAAAGCTCCAGCAGTTAAAACTGCATCACCATTGCAGGAATGGACGGATAGACATTTTTATTATTTTTGTGCGTGTTTTTTGTGTTTTAAAAAATATGAGCATGCCACAAACAAAGTGGGAACACATATTCCTAAAATCTGAGGAAAAAAACATTTTTATAAAGGCAGAGAGACAATGATATTTTTAGTGCAATTAAATACTAGCTTGTCTTTGGCTTATAGGTCATTTGTTCTTGTAGAATAGACTATAATTGTCAGTATAGTTAACAAGTGCGACCTTTTAATACATTAAAGCAAAATCAGAAGCCCCAGCAATTAAACATCTTGCTCCTTTACGAGACTAGACAGACTAGGACGGACGTGGAACCTAGAAGCACAGCCCATGTGGTCATGGGAATTTTGCATACGATAAAGGCAGCTTTTCCAATTAGTGGAAGAAATGTGGGGAAATTGATGATCCATTTGGAATAATATAAAGTTAGATTCCCATCTCCTGCCGTTCACAAAAGTTAATTTCAAGTATATTAAAGGTTTGGCTGCGCTGTTTCCATAGATAGGGGATTTGAATGAGGGATGGTGAGAGTCTTGAAGCAGAAGGCACATTTTTAACCTGTGCATGTTTTTCTAGGGAGAGCTCCACAGCTGACATCATAATCTCATAGTAGCCCTGAGCCCAAAGAGTTAAAAGCCACTTAGCTAGAAACTTCGGTTCCTCCTTGAGGGAAACGGCCAACCACATCCAGCTCTCTTCAAGCACACACCTCGTTATCACCACTTCTCACTCCACGCAAATTTTGTTGATTGGAATTCAATCAAAGTCTCCATGTGCAAAGAACCGTGTCCTTCCTTACAGGCCATGGGAACCCACTGGAACAGCATGGGAGTTTCATGGAGACTGAGCCACTGCCCCCCAGAAATACTTGCCCAAGCCAAGCCGGTGAGAACAGACAGCTTCCACTGAAATTTTCCAAAGCCAATGGCTTCCACCGCATCTTCCACCATGAAAGTATCTGGGAAGGAGAAAGGGAGAGGGGAGGAAGGATCAGTGTGCCTTCCAGCTGTCCTCGAGTGGGGCTGCCTGGGGTGGTCCCCAGCCAAGCAAATTAAAGGCACTACATGCTGCTTTCAGAGCTTATCCTAGAAAAGTATTCCAGTGTGAAGCGATATTCTACAACTGCAGCATGGCTTACAGCGGGAGAAACTGAAAAACCCAGAACGTCCATCAACAGGGGGTTGGTTAAATAAATTTATTAAGCAGATATTATACATATATAAATTATTAAAGATCTACATTATAAAATATGACCCAAATGTTAATAAGAATGTGCAGATATAGAAAGATACACAAAATATATTGTTAATTGACATTTAAAAACAAAACAAGATTGACAACAAAGTATTGAGCATGGTTCTATTCTTGGAAATGTATGCATGTGGGCGTAAATATATGCACATGTATCTATGCATAGAATATATACAAGGCTTTGAATTATGGTTTAATTTGTTTGTTGTCAGAGGGGGAAAGGAAAAAATTATGTGATAATTCACTTTCTTCCCTTTACAATTTATTATTTCCATGGCCAGAAAAAAAGAAATACTTTTTTTGTTTGTTTTGCTTTTTTTGAGACAGGGTCTCGCTCTGCTGCCCAGGCTGGAGTGCGGTGGTACAATCAGAGCTCACTGCAGCCTCGATCTCCTGCGCCCAAGTCATCCTCATGCCTCAGCCTCTTGAGTAGCTGGGACTACAGGCACATGCCACCATGCCCAGCTAATTTTTTTCTATTTTTTGTAGAGATAAGGACTCACTATGTTGCCCAGGGTGGTCTTTAACTCTTGAGCGCAAGCTATCTTCCCGCCTCGGCCTCCCAAAGTGTTAGGATTACTGATGTGAGCCGCCATGCCTGGCCTGAAATACTTTTGAAAGGCACAATTCCATCAGCACTCAGATGGAAAGATGTGCACGCTATATTGTTAAGTGAAAAGCAAAAGTTGTGTAGAGGTACGTACTGGTGGAGCTGTCTTTGTGATAAAATGTGTATACGTGTGTGTGAGTGCACCAAGCAGGGGTGGACATCTTACAAACTGTTACCAGACTCATCTTTGAAAATGATACTCACTTTCCTACTTTGGGTATTTCTTTAATGTCTGAATGCTTTCCAAATAAACAGGTTTTATTTTCATGCTCAGAAAAAACATAGGTATCATTTATAAGCTAGTAAGTTTTTGAAACATACTAAAAGGTGGCCAGATGCTGTGGCTCATGCCTGTAATCCCAGCAGTTTGGGAGGCTGAGGCAGGAGGATCACTTGAGCCTTGGAGTTCGAGAGCAGCCTGGGCAGCATAATGAGACTAAAAATTTTTTAAAACAAAATAGCAGTGAGTGGTGGCTCCCACCTATGGTCCTAGCTACCTGGGAGGCTGAGGCAAGAGAACGGCCTGCGCCAGGGAGGTTTCAAGGTTGCAGTGAGCTGTTATCACATCACTGCACTCCAGCCTGGGTGACAGAACAAGATTCTGTTAAAAAAAAAAATTCAAAAAACAAAACTAAACTGAACTGAAACACTAAACCCAATGTGCTGTGCTGGATTATATCTGGAAGCAGCACAACTGCAATGACTGGTGAAATCCACATAAAGTCTGGGGTTGAGCTAACAGTAGCACACCAACGTTAATCTTTTTAGTTTTGACAATTGTTTTTTAGTTGTTAACATTAGGGGAGGCTGGGTGAAGGGTATGTGAGAACTGTCTGTACTATATTTGAAATTTTTTTTTGTAAAGCCATAATAATTTAAAAATGAATAGTTAATTAAAAATACAGCTGGGTACAGTAGCTCACACCTGAAATCCCAGCACTTTGGGAGGCTGAGGCAAGTGGATCACCTGAGGTCAGGAATTTGAGACCATCCTGGCCAACAGGGCGAAACCCTGTCTCTACTAGGAGTTTCCATCCTCACTCAGATGGAATGATGTGTTTTGTATTTCTACTAGAAATACAAAAATTAGCCAGGTGTGGTGGCACATGCCTATAGTCCCAGCCACTCAGGAGGCTGAGATAGGAGAATCGCTTGAACCTGGGAGGCAGAGGTTGCAGTGAGCCAAGACTGCACCACTGCACTCCAGCCTGGGTGACAGAGTGAGTCTCCATGTGAAAAAAATAAAAATACTAAAGGAGGATGCTGGGTTGCCCCATGAGCGACCTCCGAGGATCTCATCAGCCCCTGCTGGGAGTTGTCATCTTTTTGGAATTTCAACGATGGGCCTTGTAGGTCAATCATAATTTTCTCTAGATGTGTGAGTTCATGTTGATCACATTAGCAGGTTGTGGTTTTCTCCAGAAAAAAAAAAAAAAAAAAAAAATCCATAGGAAGAACAGCAGTAACACTATTGTGGGGCACTTACTGAGTGCTTACTATCTGCCAGGCACTGTGCCAAAAGCTAGATGTGCATTATTTCATGTAATACCCATCACAACCCTATGAGTTAAGGCCTAGTATTAGCCCCATTTTACAGAGGAGGACATGAGCTTGCCCTGTGTCACACAGGTGGCACGTTGTAGAGTTGGGAGTCAAGCCCAGATCAGCCTGAGAGTAAAGCCTCAGCTTACCTCTGTCCCCCATCATTGCCACCTTATCTTTGCCAACAACAGGCCTGGGTTCAAATCATTAGACATTTCTTAGATTTGGAATCTGAGTCTTTACAGGAATTCATAGAATGTTTTTATCCAACAGCATTAAGAAGTGAGGGAAGTTGGAGAACCGGTCCCACAGCACTGCTTCAGAGGTAGCACAAGATCATGGGTAAGAATGTGGGCTCTGAGGCCAGATTTCCTGGGTGTAAATCCAAATTGGCTAATTCCTAGCTGTATAACCTTCAGCAAGATATTTAACCCTTCCGTGCTTCAGTTTCCTCACCTGCAAAATGGGGAGGATGTTGGTAATAGATCCAATTGGAACTGTTGTGAGGATTAAATGGATAAAACATGTAAACTGGTTAGAGCGGTGCCTGGCACAGAGTAAATCCTCAGCCAATGTCAGCTGCTCGCATACCATCATCAGTGTCACCATTACCATCACACTATCATCATAACCAACATCATCACCACCATTGTCATTACACTGTCATCCCAACCATCATCACTATCACCGTCATCATTACCACAATCATCATCACCACCACTATCATCACCACAACCATATCATCATCACCACCATCATCATCATCATCACCATCATCATCATCTTCATCATCAACACCATCATCACTACCATCACCACCACCATCATCTTCATCATCACCATCATCTTCATCATCACCATCATCGCCACCACTATCATCACTATCATCATGTTCATCATCACCACCATCATCTTCATCATTTTCATCAAYACCATCACCACCACCACCGTCATCATCATCACCACCACCACCACCACCACCATCATCATCACCACCACCATCATCTTCATCATCAYCATTATCATCATCTTCAGCAACAAAACCACCAYCATCATTATCKTCATCATCAACACCATCATCACYACCAYCACCACCACCATCATCATCATCATTGCCATCATCACTACCATCATCACAACCATCRCTACCAYGATCATCTTCATCATCACCACTATCATCATCTTCATCACCATCATCACTACMATCATCATCACCAYCACCATCWTCWTCATCACCAYCACCATCTTCATCATCAYCACCACCATCWTCWTCATCRYCACCAYYATCATAACCTTCATCATYACCAYCACCATCTTCATCAACACTATCATCATCACCACCATCATTATCTTCATCATCACCACCAGCATCACTACCATCATCTCATCATCACCATTGTCATCATCACTATCATCATCATCACCATTGTCATTCTTATCATCACCATCTTCATAGCTATGATCAACCCCATCATCACTATCACCCTCATCATCATCATCATCATCACCATCACCACCACGATCATCACTATCATCTCATCATCACCATCTTCATTATCATCATCACTATCATCGTCATCACCTTTGCCATCCTTATCACCATCTTCATCACTGTGATCATCACCATCATCATCACTATCACCATCATCATCACCATCATCACCACCACCACCATCATCACTATCATCATCACCATCTTCATCATCACTATCATCATCATCACCATTGCCATCCTTATCATCAGCATCTTCATCACTGTGATCATCACCATCGTCATCATTACTATCATGATCACCACCACCATCATCATCACCATCATCATCTTTGTCATCATCATTGTCATTGTTAGTGCCATTCTCAGCCAAGTGTTATGCAGTGGTGCTGACTGGCAGGGATTATGATGTAACCTTGCCTGCTGAAGTAAGCCATGGAGGCTCAGCCCCCACTTCCAGCTCCACCCCTTGGCCCTCTGGGCCCTCCCAACTGCCCCTTCACAAGACCCCTCTGGGCCCTCCCAACTGCCCCTTCACAAGACCCCTCTGAAACTGCCTGCTGAGGGGCAACCTTGACTGTGGCCCAGGCTGATTCCCCACTGCAGGGCCCTCTCACCATCGGTGGGATTGGCAAACTCCTTGGGCACAGCTGCCCCATCATCCAGCTCCACAGCCTCTAGGCCCACGCGGACCCCTTCAATCTGGACTTCATGCTCTCCTGAAGCCGTGTCGTCCTCTGACCTTGCACTCTCGCCTGTACGACGGAATTTCACAACCCTAGAGAACAGAGCAAATCTGGTCAAGATGGCTAAAGCTTCCCCTAGATGGCCTTGCTGGACAGCTGTAGTGCCCAAGACAGGTGAAAGACTTCTCATGGTTTGGAGAGTTGATGGATGAGGGTTCACACTTCTATTGAGTTGGACTGGGTTGGGAAGACTAATAACTTCAAGAGTTGCAGTATCAGGACTGCCATGTACAGTTGGGCAGATTGGGCACTGCACAATTCCTGGGTTTCCTATTCACATAGTAGGTTATGTGATTGAGGATATTTTTGTATTAAGT